CAGCACTACTCCAGCTAGTGGAAGTCCTGCAGTATTACCCGGTAGCAGCAGCAATAACCCCACTACTGGATCTCCAACTGTAACAACAGGGCAGGCTGCTGCTGGTCCAACTTTGGCAATTCTAACTCCTTCCAGTGGCATCCCTGCTAAATCCCCTGGCAGCCCCAATGCAAGTCCAGTTGCTGGCATCTACACTTCTGGAGTTGACACAGCTGGAGCTCAAACTGTGGCTTCCATGAACTCTCCTACAAGCCCAAACATAGCAGCAACGACACCCCCTTTTGCAACCACACCAACGTTGGCAGCGCCCAGTCACTCCCCACCATCAGCGGCTGACAATGCAGCAACACTTGACCCATCAAGCACAACAGTGGTCTCTTCATCGCAGAACCCTACTACAATTTCTTCCAATGGACCAGCAGCCCATCCTTCCCTTAGGGCACCAATGCCCACAACAATAATTGCACCAACTCTTTCCTCCACCAATAAACCAACACTCACCCCCACAGATGAACCTACATTGTTCCCCACCAGTGAACCTACGCTTTCCCCAACTGATGATCCCACTGGCTCCCCAACTGTTGAACCTACTCTTTCCCCTTCTATGGTACCTACTCTGACTCCAACTGATGAGCCCACTCTGTTTCCAACAAGTATCCCAACAGACACCCAAGAGTTGCCCGATGGCACCACACCCACCACAACCTCTCCCAGCAAAACACCCAGTGCAGTACCAAGTGCCTCACCCAGTCAACTGACCAGTACTAGTGACAGCACTGAACCGAGCATCATACCAAGTAGCCTACCCAATGCATCACTTGAGCCAAGTATTGTTCCAAGCATTGCTGACAGCACCAATCCAAGCAGCCTGCCCAGCTCATTGTCAGAATCAAGTATGGTTCCAAGCACCACCCCTATTGATGATGACAGCAGTATGCCAAGCAGTGTTCCCAGCAGTACCTCAACTGAGCCAAGTGGGTTCCCCAGCACGAACCCCAGGACCAGTGACAGCACCATGCCAAGTGGCTTCCCCAGCACATCAAGTGTGCCAAGTTTACCTTCCAGTGCACCGCCCACTGCTTGTGATGCATCTTTTGTGTCACAGGAATCCACCTACAGCATTGATTTCACTGGAGACATCAGCTCATTGGAAGACCCTGCATTGACGTTAGCATTCTCGACAGCAGTAGGAACACTACACGAAGGAAGTTCTTGCCCTCCCACAATAGAGAGCGTTGTTATCTCAAGCAGGTCAGGGATCAATGATGCTGCCAGTGTCAGAGTTCGTGCTGACCAGCTTTGGGGTGAAAGGAATCTGCAAACATCATCTGTTGGATTCACCGTTACAGCAATTGAAGAACAAGGAAGCACTCTCATTGCGGCAGCTCAAGAAGAACTATTCTTGGACCAGTACACGATTTCCCTCAACACTGCTGGAGTTGTAGCAGCAACTGTAGTCCTCTCTACCAGCTCGTCCACTGTACCATCCGGCAGGCCATCCAAGAGCCCATCACAGGAAGCATCCAGTGCACCGTCCATGATGCCATCCAACCAGGCATCAGTGTATCCCAGTGATATGCCTTCAGAGCAGCCCTCAGCTAGGCCTTCCAATCAACCCACAACATCTCTTTCCTCAAGACCAACAGTGACACCAGGAAACCCCACAGTCAGCCCAACAAGTCCTTATCCATCTTGGGCACCTTCGGGGAGCCCCTCAGCGATGCCATCAGCAAGGCCTTCCGATATGCCATCTCTGAGTCCATCAATCACACCATCAGTACAACCAAGTAGTATGCCATCAAACAGCCCATCTGGAAGTCCTTCTGACAACCCCACAGCACAACCTACAGCTGCACCTTCGGTTCCACCAACACATACCCCAGGGTTTCCCACTGCCAGCCCAATAACACCAAACCCAACCAAGGCCCCATCAGCCTATCCATCAACCAGCCCATCTGTGTTTCCAAGTAGTACTCCATCAAGAAACACAACGCCAACCCCCTCCACATTGCCTACAACGACTCCAGGCAACCCCACAACCAGTCCAACAGCATCCAACTCACCCTCACTGGACCCATCTGAAAGCCCTACTGGCAGTCTAAGCCATGCTCCAAGTGATAGTCCAAGAAACCCAACACCAACCCCCTCTACATTGCCTACAACGTCTCCAGGCAATCCCACTGCTAGTCCAACAGCATCCAACTCACCATCAGCAAACCCATCTGAAAGCCCTACTGGCAGTATAAGCCATGCACCAAGTGATAGTCCATCTTCACCACCATCAACCATCCCTTCTTCAATTCCTTCCTCTTATCCCTCAAAAACACCAACATCTTCCCCTTCCTTGTTTCCCACTGTCACCCCGGGGAATCCCACAACAAGTCCAACAGTATCGAATAGCCCATCAGTGAGGCCATCTGAGAGCCCTAGTCTGAGCAATGCACCTAGCACAACCCCATCTGTTGATCCATCAATTGTGCCATCAAGCACCCCAAGCATCCATCCATCAAGCCTGCCATCCATCAGTCCATCACTGGCACCATCAATGGATCCCAGTCTAAGCCCCTCAGATGTCCCCTCCCTGATGCCCAGCCTCAGGCCTTCTGAATTTCCATCTACAAACCCCAGCAGAAGTCCCTCTGACTTGCCTTCCTTCAGCCCTTCAGATATCCCCTCTTCCAACCCCAGCAGCATTCCATCTGACTTCCCTTCGAGCATTCCCAGCTCAAGTCCATCAATGGTTCCTTCTGTCAGCCCTTCAGATGGACCATCCATGCTACCCAGCATCACCCCTTCAGATATCCCCTCTTCTAAGCCCAGCAGCAGTCCATCTGACATCCCTTCAAGCAGTCCCAGCACAAGTCCATCAATGGTTCCGTCTGTCAGCCCTTCAGATGGACCATCCATGCTACCCAGCATCACCCCTTCAGATATCCCCTCTTCCAACCCCAGCAGCATTCCATCTGACTTCCCTTCGAGCATTCCCAGCTCCAGTCCATCAATGGGTCCTTCTGTCAGCCCTTCAGATGGACCATCCGCGCTGCCCAGTATCACCCCTTCAGATATCCCCTCTTTCATCCCCAGCAGCAGTCCATCTGACATCCCTTCGAGCAGTCCCAGCACAAGTCCATCAATGGATCCTTCAGTCAGCCCTTCAGATATCCCCTCTTCCAACCCTAGCATCACCCCTTCAGATCTCCCCTCTACAAACCCAAGCTCTGGTCCATCGGATGTTCCTTCTCTTAGCCCATCTGACAGGCCATCGGTGCTACCTAGTAGTAGCCCTTCAGATTTTCCATCTGCCAGTCCCAGCATTCCTCCATCTGATGTGCCCTCCAAAAGCCCAAGCCAAATTCCATCCGATGTGCCTTCGATATCACCATCTGATGTGCCTTCCAGTACTCCTTCTAAATCACCATCAAAGGCACCAACCAACCCACCCACAGCACAGCCCACCTTTCCGCCTGCATGTTCGAATGGAGACATTACAGGATATACCTATTTCTCAGGATTCTGCTGCATCAAGGATTATTATTGGTCGCCAGATCTTTGGGTTTCCCCTGCTAACAATGGAGCCTATGGTTCGATTACAGATTGCTACAATGCCTGTGTCACTCAATATGGTACAGTAGCATGTAGTAAATTTAATTGGGGAAGTGGCACGGAGTTTGCAGTGCATCTCAGTTCTGGAACTACTCGTTGTACAAAGCAAAATTCAGGTGCGGCGCTTCTTGCAAGAGGAACTTATGATGATCAATTTACCCCACAGTATGCTTGCTCGAAGCTTTAATTTTAAAACAACAGCAAATAATATGATTGTGAGGGTGGATCTTTGAATTTTCTAGTTGCTTCTATAGCTAGCTAGCTTGGATTCTGTATGCCTACAACCTAGCCAGCTAGCATTCGATGGTGGGGTCTAGCTACGGTAGGTGGTGGAATGCTACGAGCACCAGCCTGATGTCTATCTGGGTGGATACCATGCTGGTTCTATGGACATGGATACATCAACTAAGGTGCTGGATGCATGGCAAGCATGATCTTGTGAGAAGCTACGCTGTAGCTACCAGGTAGCGATTGTGTGGTGGAGGGATGCGGGGGGAATCCAATGGATGAATCGAATCGAATCGAATCGAATCAATCATCAGCCAGCAAGGCAGCTCCGCTACTAGTAGTAGAGCTCCGAGTAATTTTGTAATTGAAGCTAAACATGTCCCATTCTTGGAAGGATTTAAAGGTTTCTCAATCAGTTCATCACGAGCATTAAAAAACACTGTACCCGGAGCAGATTGATTAAATCAGGGCAGTACAGCAGCTGTATGCAGTTTTCTGTGTTCTGACAACTAAGGGCATTCTCTAGTAGATTCGTTCGTCCTAAAACTCGTTCTAAGTCTATTTTAGAACGAATTTTAGGACAAAAGCAATCTTTAACTCAAATTCGTCCTATTTTTAGGACGATTTTTAGGACGAACTGAAAATTTGCGTCCTATTTTTAAAAAATAGGACGGAAAAACAAACTCGTTCTAACAAATCGTCCTAACAAATCCTTTAAATCCTTGAGTCTTCTTTGATGACATCATGGCCTTCGAGTTCACAAGACTGAGATAACAAGATTGAGACAATTGAGACATTGAGACGCTGGCTCCGCTGAACTAAATGTACCGATACCATTTACCTGTATCCGGACAGCGAAAGACAAACTCCAACATCAACCACCACCACAGACCACAGAGGTGCTTCGTGGGAAGCTCCTAGCCACACTATCAGGACAATGTTAATAGGCCGATAGAGGAGAGGTGCGTGCACGACGAGTTTTAAGACCAGCTTTTTAGAGATTGATACTCGTCCGTCCTAAAACTCGTCGTATCCAAGTCCAGTTTTAGAGCGAATTTTTTAGAGATTGCCAATTCGTCCTAAGAATAGGCCGAATTTTTAGGACGAGCAGTTAGGACGAGAAAATAGGACGAGGATGACTAGAGAATGCCCTAACTGTCTTGAGTGACCTCTTATTCCCGTCTACAAAATGACTTTGCACAGCCAAATTTGTACTAGTCTAGCTAGCTAATAGTACCGTACCGTACGTGGCCGCAGGCAGAAGCTCGCACCAAAAAAGAAGCGGGCACACAAACTCGAGTGTGAGACTTGGCAGCCATCCTTCTACTGTACCACCACTATAAGGAGTGAGACGAGACAGAAGATCAATTAATCGATCTGTTCCACCATGGCAGCTCCTCCTCCATCTCCGAGTCAAGCTCAAGAAGCAACAAGCCATGGCGAGAGTGTTGCCGACAAGCTCCAGCACTTGTTGGAGCTGTGTAGTGAGGAAGAGTTATTGTTACAAGCTCGTTTGTTGGCACTCTGTCAAGTATTGGCATCGATTGGGGACCAGCCCGTGACGAATGGATCCGCTCTGCAAGGCTTGTACAATGTGTTGGTGCAAGTCGAAGAGGAGTATTTGTGTGGCAGCGCGAATCGACTGGTTTGCGTGGTACAAGCCACGCAACGCCATTTGACACTCGTGACTCTCCTACAAGCTGTAACGAGTCGACTCCAAGAATTGTTGTCGGGCTTGACGGTACAGTCCCAATTGCACGGTCCCTTGGCGGACTACATGGCACTGCAGTCGCAACAAGCAGTCCAATTGTCGCAATGGAGTCTTCAATTGGAACAAGAACAAGCGCCATTGGCGCTCTGTGCATCGCCCGAAGAATTCCACGCCCTGCTCCAAAATCGATTTGATACTTCCATTGAAGAGGAAGAATGGATGGAAGCACTCGACGTCTTGCAGCAAGAACTGGGTCAATTGTCCGTTCAATTGTTGTCCAGTGACTACGACAACTCCACGGCACGAGGCAAAGCCGTCCAGTATCAAGGATTCCTCGGAATTGTTGTGGCAAGACTGCAAGCTCATCCATTCGTTCAACAACCACAATCTTCGACTGTCACTGCTGGCGCCAAAACGACTGTCGATTCCGACTATCCGGCATGGGCATTGGATCCACTGACAGGACTCTTGATGACTGTCCCCGTGACGTTGCGAGCTCCCTGTGAGTGTGTCATGGACAAGACCACCTTTGTTCATTGGATGAACCAAAAATCCATTGATGCTCCTAAAAATAAGTGTCCTGTCTGCAAGGAACCCATGACCAGTATTGCCGCAAAACCCAACAAGGAACTCAAACGAAAAATACAATTGCTCGTGCTTGATAGTGATCAGGAGGGTGTCGTTGTGGGTGTGGCCGATACTTCCATGGACGATTCGTCCACCACCATTCGACCCACCCGCATGCCACGACGCACATCGTCCATGGACGATTCCGTCGCCATGACCAGCATTCAAGAAGACAAACCCTTACTCCAAGATGATTCCGCTCGCACCAATAGCATGGACATGAGCTTGACGGAATTGCGAAGGACCGTCACGGATTCGCCTACTGCGCAGCGTCGTGCGGTGGATCCTCGTGCCAACAACAAGTTTCGATCCAGCCATACTACCAAAAAGCATCCCGACACGATCAAATTGGCACAATTCAAACGAACACTCACGTCGTCGCCCCAGACGCAACCAAAACCCAAAAATAAGAACTTGTTCAATGCTCTGCGACGTAAATTGACGAGATGAAGATTATAAGGCAAGAAGCCAACCCCTCATTGCCACCGGAGGCAAGTTAACCAACCAACTAAAGAAGAGGGAGGTGGTCGAAGCCTCGAGATCACAAATAATACGAAGGATCATCCCAATTGGTTTCTACGTCCCACTCGATCGACGTCACCCGACCGACACCAGCACAAAAAATGTGCTTGCTTTATTCCATATACCGGTAATATCCACTAGCTAGCTAGCCCCACAATTAGGTTTTTAGTTAGAAAGATACTCTACGTAATGTACAACCGGTTCCGTGCGGTGCTCCGTCTTCGGGTTTGTTGCCTGCGGTACATATATAGGACTTATCGTGTTGTCCTCACTAGGTGCATGGAGTTACGAACCTTCCGAGCCCCGCAACCACTGCTCCGTGTTGGAGAATCCCAAACTCTTCAGTGCTTTTGTCGCATGGCCTCGAATGGCAGGGTGATTGGGATGTGCCGTTTGTGCCAACACGAGCGCTTCCACACCACCGGCCGCACGGATTCGAGGCCGCATAAACAAGGGACGCGACAGCTGGCACAGCGCCCCACAAGCGCTCGCTTGGACTCCAGCGTGGGTAGGATGGCGTTCCATGGCTGCCAGAATGAGTTGGACGCCCGATAGGAGGATCGATTGACTTGGCTCGTGCTGGGCCAAATTGCCGAATGCACCGCACCCTTGTTCTTGCACGGTGGCATCCGTGGGATGATTCCGGAGCGCCGCCAGAACGACGGGAATGCCTCCGGCGTTGGCAATGGACACTTGGTAAGGACCACGAAAGGAGAGATTGTGCATCGTCCCACAACCCTGTTCTTGAAGGGCGGCATTCTGGGGATGCTGCGAAAGAGACGCTACGATGGCTTCAATGCCACCGGCGCTCACAATCGAAATTTGATTCTGGTGATCAAACGACAAATTCCTGAGCGCTCCACAGGCTTCTTCTTGCAGAATGGCCTCGCCCAAGTGGTGTTGCATGGCTGCCAACAGTGCCAAGATCCCACCGGAATTGGCAATCTGAACATTGTTGGGGTTGTAAAAGGACAAGTTCCGAAGAGCGCCGCATGCCTGTTCTTGGACCTCAGCGTCTTTTGGGTGAGTTTGCATGGCACTCAAAATGGCCCCGATTCCTCCCGCTTGTGCCACTTGTCGTTTGTGGTGGTTGCTGCCAAATGATAACGTCCAGAGAGCCTTGCAAGTCAATTGCTGGATTTTGGCGTTTTGGGTGTGGATCTTGGTGGCCAACAGAATGGCTTCCACCCCACCTGCCTCCAGCACCTCTTTTTGCCCCCGGGCGTCGCCATTGCAGGCATTCACCAGACTTTGGAGTGCCTTAGCCAGTCTTCGACTGTTCTTTTTGATATTCCTGATGGCATCCACCAGGGGATTTGAGGGTCGGTTCCTGGAATTGGGATCCAGCGCCGCCGATCCACCCGAGGTGGAAGATTGCATACTGATAGACGTACCGGTAGTGTTGGACGTTGCCGAGACAAAACTTTCTTGTTGGACGGTGCCGTTGCTGCCCACAACGAGAGCCATTGGCAAAACGCCGGTATACGATGATCCTGGAGTTGGTGGGGGAGATACGACAGCGGGAGAAACCGTCGTCGTGGCGGCCTGTCGAACAGGAGACGTAGGCGATGAAATGGAAGACGATGTCATGTTGCTGCTGACACTACCCATGTTGAGCTCCCATTCCGCTTGACAGCGGGGGCACATGGGAAGGATGGTCTTCCATTTCCGGCCCAGAATACCTTTTCTCTCTCTAAGTTGAATGTCCGGATGAAAGGGGCACCAGCCATCTTCGCGGTATTTGACGCGCTCTCCTTGCTGAGTCGAAACCGTGGCCTCACGGTTCTCGGAAGAGAGCTCGGGCAGTTCAGATTGGTTCATGGTGGTTGGTTGGTGTGTCTTTTGTAGAGGTTTGCAAGGTTTTGTGGAGGTGTGCAATAAGATGTGGCTGATGAGTGGCAACCAACAACAACGGCTTTCTTCAGACATGCTCTTGTTTCGCAAGGATTCTTTGGCGAAAACCGGGGTTTTTGGGTTGCGGGAAGATAATGTTTTCAGACGTGAATATCAATTCGATGACAACCAAAGAAAATGCCCAACAAAAGATCAACAGGACAAAAATCGAGTATCTCCTGTTTTACCTCATTATTTGGCGCTACTGGGAACCCAAAAGGCGGAAACCACAGTCGCAATCCTGAGAACAGAGCTCGCTTCGGGTTGCAAATAGATGAATCATTCGAATCACCAAGGCAAAAACTTGCCCTTGATGTGGTACAGTATACCGGTACCGGTACTGTAGCTTTGTCAACAACCGCCGCCACCCGCACCTACCTCCATGGTGTCCACACTTGTAAGGTACGGTACGGTACAGTACATCTTGCTCCTCAATCAAACGGTACCGGTAGTGTGGCTGCTCCCAACAACCTGAGAAACAATGTGTATTATAGTTAGTTAGCTAGCTAGATGTCCACAGACGGACCACAATGCCGCCACATGAAGGTTTGTATTGAAAGCCGATCTAGTAGAGTAGTTTGATCAAAAGTCATCTCTATTGTTATTCTCTTTTAAGCCAAATTCTACTATTGGAAGGTTCTGGTTAGATTGGAAATATGATTTGGTGGAAGTCATTTTGAATTCAAGCAAACGGCAATAGTTCTCGTTCCTGCAGAGTTCTCTGTCTCTTTGTATGTATGGTGCACTCTTACTCTTCTGAAGTTGTCTGGTGCTCCTGTTGTTGTGGATCCTCCTCCTTGGAAAACCATGAGTGCATGAGGTTGCCAGTGCTGCGGAACAGCAATGCAATGGATTCGTTCGTTACATGGCGCTTCTTCACGAGATACATGTCAACATCGACATCTGCTAGTCGAGTGGGAGGGCGTTTGGGAGATGCATGTTGGTGTGGAGCCTCCCATGTATATTCCAGTGGGGACTGGAAGGGAGCATCTGTGGGTGGGGTGGAAATGGGGCCTTTGGACATTTTGGGTTTGTTTGCTTGTTTGTTTCTTTGTGTGTTTTTGTTCTTTGTTTTTGTGACTGTTGTGATAAGATTGCTGTTGCTACCGTAGCTAGATTTCAATCAAGCTAACCATCGTCCATGGTGCTTGCAGAGTTCATGCTGAATTGTCGTCGGTGACTGCTGCTCAGTTCAAGGTGTCCAAGTGCTGCTGGTTCTGTGTTTGATGGTTTGGTACGGTACGGTACGGGACGGACGTAAACCAGCAGCCAAACTGTGATTCGATTCGATTCTGTCATGTCAATCCAGTTTGATCGCGCCAAATATGCATAAGTCCTTCTGCTTCTCTGAGTACCGGTAAACTTTTCAGTACTCACACAGTAAAATCAACAAAAAGATAAAAGGCTGCTTTTTGGTCCATTATCTAAATTGAAAAATTAGAAAGAGAAAAAATGACTTTCTTTAGCACGCACACTGGACCTTACAGAGCGAAATCTTCAGGGAACGAGATCTTTTGGCCGTTGTTGTGCTCTGTTATTGTGCTTTGTTCTCAATAATTGGTTGAAGGCAATCAATCCAATCCAACCCTTGGCTACCGTTGCTCCAGCTGTTGCCAACTAGCTAGCTAGTTAGTTATAGTTGACCCACCATGGCATCCCAACTCCATGAACGTCGAAAGCATCACCAGCATCCAGACGAGGAGGAAGCGTGTCCGGATACTCCACAACAACATCGAAGCAGTAGTACCAGCCCTGGCGGAAGTCTTGGTGGTAGCAAGATGAACCCAATTCTGGCGTTGGCTCGCAGTCTGAAGAATAGCAAGAATAAAGAGGGGCGAAATGAAGTGGGAGCAGCCTTGATGAGTGTGGTATCCTTTTTAGTAGTGGGTTTTGGTCTTGGGTATTTCCTGATGCACATTCAACATCGACGCGTGATTTTGCACGTCATGAAGAATCCGTGGGCGCATGGTGGCGCCGTAATACTGCGAGGCCGGGTTGGATTTCAACATCACTTTTACTCCGGTCCTCCTCGCTATGTCACTGTGGTCATGCCCTCGGTGGTGAATCCCAAAGCACGACCACACCGACTGCGATCCATTCAAGATACATGGGGGCCCTTTGCCAGATCCATCTTTGTGGTATCCAATGTCACGCTAGAATTCCCACCGGCCAAGACCCACAATGCCATTATATCCGACAATTCCGAACCGGGAGATCCATTCAGTTACCCACAAGCACTTCAGATTCCTGCGGAAATTGGAGATGAAAATGGAGTGGCGCGATTACAGTATGTCTTCAAAACCATTTACGAAAAAGTCAATCCAGACTATGCCTTTTTTGTCAATGATCACACGTTTGTGATACCAGAACACTTATGCAATTATCTACAAGATTTGGATCCATTGGAGGATCTCTATGCCGGTCATGCCATGAAGACTGATAAGGATGTCTTCAACAGTGGAGCTGCGGGGTATTTGCTCAGTCGCAGCACCATGAAAAAATTAGTCGAGGCGTGGGCAGACAAGGAACCCCATTGCACCATTGATCCCAACAATAAGCAAATGAAATTTTTGGCCGGAAATCCGGGATTAATGACGACCGTCTGTTTGCGAGACGCCCTCAACATTACTGCCATTGATACGCGGGAAGACTCCAAATATCATCGATTTCACGCATTCCCACTCACACGACAAGTTTCCGGCGACGTTGATGAATGGTACATTAAAAAACACAATGTGGAAACGGCACGGGCCATTGGAGCCGATGAAACGTATGCGACTATGCTGACGGGAGAAGACTGTTGTGCCAAATCCACCGTGACATTTCATTACGTGGAACATGCCGAAGCACGGGCATTGTTTGCCACGCGAGAGCGATTGTTGGCCAATCCGCACTTGACCGATAAGGAATTGATGAGTCTCATGATGAAAGAATGGCCCAAGAACCAAAAAGAGATTGGAGCCTATTCGCGGCCACTGCCAGATAGTAAAAATGAAAAAGGCTGGAAAGCGCTGCTGAGAACGGTGCGGAAAATTACAACGCGAGAGACGCAACGAGATTGTTAGCAAATGGATGCAAAGGTGCATGCATGCATTGATGCATTGATGCAAACAAAGCAAAAACAAAAGGCCTTGGCAGCTAGCTAGATAGAGACAGATTATAGCTGGCTAACTCCTGTAGTACAATGTAAGATTTGGAGGTATGCATAGGGATTGGCGTGAACAACTAGGAGCAACACGATGCACAACAGTGGTGGCGATAGGCTGTTTAATCAACGTCTTCTTTTACTTTTACTCTGAACAGTGGGGGAGTTAGGCTTATTCATCAAGGCCGCCCCCCTTTCCCTTGAAGCCGCCAAACAATTGCCACCTTTTCTTGGGCTCCTCCAGCTGCTGCAAACGCTTTGCTTGTTGCCCCAGCCATTCGGCCATTCAAGAACCTTTCTGTTTCGTTCCTCAGTTCTACTTATCCTTAGTCCCTTCGGCGTGGTTTGAGACAATATCCTTCACTGGCTTTTCCAGAGCGGCCACCTGGACCAGTTGCTGCAATCGCTCCTCTTGTTGGCCCACTCGGGAATTCAGCTTATTGTTCAGCTTGCTCTTGATCTCAGCCTTTTTTCCGTTTCAGCCTCGGCAGCGACAAATCCTAGTTGTTGGATTGTTTGCACCTCTCCGGAGGGTGTGGTTCCACTCTGACCATTGAAGTGATTGCCTCGAAGCGAGGCTGTCTGTTTGATCTCTACCTGAAGCTCGACCACGATGAGCTGGCTGCTACGTGATATGGACCGAGGGCGAGATCTCGAGCGTCTGCTACATGAAAGCGACCGAGAACGAGATCTCGAGCTGCTCCGACGTCCTCGAACTACATGTATTAGAGCGCGACCGTGTGAGCGCACTCCCACGAGTTGGGGCTGGTGCTTTCTCGACAACGGAATGAACATCGGAATCCTCAGTACCGAACTGTTCAGGAACGATTTCTTCATTCACAGGCTTCAAGGGCAAACATCTGGTTTTGCGACTGTTCTATGGCAAGAGGGTTTCGACATCTTCCAAAATCTTCTTTGTTTGCTGGGTCACGCAGATGATCACCGTGCCAACTTTCCCTACAAACTACAAACCTTCAATGAGCCACAACTTCACGTTGCGAGTATCGAGGAGATCGCGGAAGGATATAACCACCGCAACAATAGGAATAAATAGTACCCTGTTATAATAATATGATATTGGGCTATCAAACCGGAGTCGATTTAGCCACATTGATCCATCGCCGCAAAGGTGATCGGGCTCAAGATGGGAGGAACTGCCTCGGAGGGCTTCCAAACCGAAACGGGATCGAAAATGGACACAAGTTCTTCCCTGATCACTATGATTATCAAAATCACGCGTGGATCTGCATACATTAGCATTTGCCGCGCTGGTGCATCAAGGTTATAGGAGTTTTCATGGGTCTAGTATACCTGTGAGAGAAATAACTCGTTCCCATAGTTTGGATAGGTAGATGGCAGCAATGGCATCTGTGTTTGTGGACGGACGGTCAGCACGGAGAAGGGGAAAGACAGGAACTTCCTCGCTCTGCGGCCTTTTGGTTGCAAGAAACTCTGAACCCTAGTAGCTAGTCTACTGTAGGTGCCAGTACATGTACCCTGGCGGGCCCGTACCAATCTTGGAAGAGATAAGGTTTTACCCTCTACCCCAGTGACTAGACTACTGTATGAGTGCGAGTGGCCCCATGGCCCTCGCTTTGAACGCAGATGTCAAACGACTTTTGGAGGCACGGCATATGCACCGCCCAAAATAGTCCAATTGTTCCGACCAATCCAGCTTTCATTTTGCTTTGAGTTTACCGGTGGTATCTGCTTTTTGGATGATCAAGCTGCTGACAATTTTAAGGTGAAGGGTACATGCAGCTATAGCTAGTCGAATGAGCAGCAAGTCTCTCCATTGCATGCTAAAATTCGTCGTCGTTGTTTTAGGCTGTGCTTTTTTCGGGCCAATCATCTCATGCTTGGTTGGTATTTACTGTTATTACTTACTGTGTCGAGGGGCCAAAAAGTAGCAGTAATTGCAGTAATGCAGTAATTACTCAGTAACAGTAATATAGGTCAGTAATCCTAGCTAGTGTCAATGGCAGTAAAAGTAAAGTAATTACTGTCTAGACAGGAATTACTGCAGTAATTTCAGGTACTACCCTGAACAAGGGCAATGGAGGCCACCATCAGGGGCAACATTGGTGGCAATTCAGCTGCACCAAAGGAGGCAGTGAAGCTTGCTGGAGCCCTTTTGGCGTATTGTGCGTGGATTCCTTGTTTGCTTCTGTTGCATACACCTTTCCTCTATGAGCAGCCACTGATTCGATGACCGGATAGCCTTATAATGAGGCTACAGTACCAGCATATGTGCTTCCCACAGAAGCACCTCTGGGTATATCTTTCCTCGTTCGTAGCCGGGCTTCCGTCGCATAGATGAGTCAATCACTCGGTTTCGTACAGTGCCTTGCACCTCTATGGTACGGACACGGCAGATCTAGTTTGAAGGATACGGTATGGGTACCGGTAGCTCCAAGAGGTGATACCCTGCTGCTGGCAAAGAGCAAGCAAATAAGCAGGCTGCGAGAGTTGCTGCTGCTCCTGCTGCTGCTGTCATGCGAGTGTCATCTCACCGAACTCTTGCACCTCTACTGGGGACGGTGCAGCAGATCTAGTAGTTTGAATGATGCTAGCTCCAAGAGATGCCACCCTGCTGCTGGTAAAATGCCAGCACATAAGCAGGCTGCGAGAGTTGATGCTGTCTAGTGTTATCTCAGTGCAGATCATGGCCTCTACCGGTACCGGTACTGCAGACAGTTTGAATGATACGGTACGAAGCTCCAAGAGCTACTACCCCGCTGCTGGTAAAATGCAAGCAAATAAGCAGGCTGCAAGAGTTGATGCTGTCAGTGAGATGCTATCGGCGTGTAGGGCAGATCTATTAGTTTGAATGATACCGGTAGCTCCAAAACGTGCTACCCTGCTGCTAGAAAAAAGCCAGCAAATAAGCAGGCAGCGAGAGTTGATGCTGCAATTGTGGTACTCTAGTACTACCGGTACTCTAGTACGTGTGCACCGTACCGTACTAGTACGGTACGAGTACCAGTACCAGTACGCTTTGGTACCGGAGTTCCGGAGTAATCCACCGGAATCCTAGGAATTCCTGCCGGAATCGTGCATGCCCTTAATTCCGGTGACGTTTTACGGTTATCTTTACGGTTGTTCTATAGAATTCCGGAATCGTACCGTAAGTAGCCAGTAATCCGGAATTCCGGCAGTAATTACCAACCAAGATCTCATGCACAGAGCTTCTGTCTCCTTAAGAAGGACCCACGGTGATGAATAGTGATACTAGCGATGACGACTTTGAGCTGACGAAGATCGTGGAACAGAGGATTGCAGAAGCAGTTGAAGAACAAACCAATTCCCAAGTAATAAGAGAACACAATCATCCAGTTAATCGACAACACCCAAGGGAGGATCTCACTGCACTCAGCCCGTGCAATAATACCAAGAGTCACGAGAGTGATGGTTTTGACTTGATGGAAATTGTAGCCCAAAGAGCCGCTGATGCCAGAGTGGCCATTGACTCTGAACAGGCTCAAGAGCCGGGTTTCCCAAAGTCCAACAATCAGGCCTCACACCCCCTGGGAAGTCTCATGGGTGTTATAGGGGAACAAGAGCACGACAATATTCCAAGCTCCAGTATTGGTATGGCATCCTTGAGGCTCAATCACAATGCGATAGCAGAGTTTTTACCGCCAGGAGCGTATCCGGTTGATGGGACCATCACGCGTCTTCAAGAAGAAGATGGATCTTCGGGATCGGACAATGAAGGAGAAAACTGGGAGGAAGAAAATGTTCAAGCTATCACATATCCCATCAACCATCAGGGAATGCGAAGTTTGTGTGTAAATGGGTCACACTGTACGGCATGCTAACCACTCACCCAAGGACCCAGGAAAAGGTAGACTGCCTCCCCGTTCTAAGGGAAGGGCGAATGATGCTATATAACGAATACTTCTGACACTCCCCATCGTCCGAGTGCAGCACAGATACCGTATAGTACTACCTCCCAGGAACCAGTAGGCTTTTAAGCTGGGCTGTAGGGGGGGAACAAGAGACGTGGGTCTTGTCGGTCCTTAGAGCGGGGCATGAGTCTACCTTTTCCTGGTCCTTGGGTGAGTGGTTGCATGCCGTACAGTGTGACCATTTACACACAAACTTCGCAGGTTATGAGCCCAAGGACCCAGGAAAAGGTAGACTCATGCCCCGCTCTAAGGACCGAAGTCACAAAGTACCACAATTTGGGCTCATAACCTGCGAAGTTTGTGTGTAAATAGGTCACACTGTACGGCATGCTAACCACTCACCCAAGGACCCAGGAAAAGGTAGACTGCCTCCCCGTTCTAAGGGAAGGACGAATGATGCTATATAACGAATACTTCTGACAGGGAACGGAAGAATTGCTCCCCAGTGGAGTGCCCTTCATAGCAAGAAGCAGAACTGCCTGGAAAAGAAAACTTTTGCGTGATGTTTCACTTCAAACGATTGTTGGTGTGCTCATTGTGACCACTTTCCTGGTGGTTTTTGTTGTGGTAAATCGAATTATCGGGAGCGGAGAAAGCACCAGCCAATCAGCCACAGAAAAAGGAGTTGTTAGGGTTCCAGTGCTGCCCGCGGCCACACAATCACCAACAAGTTTGATTGATGGCCTTCTGGCATCTCTTAATTACTACACCTTGGAAGCACTACAAGAGCATAGTTCACCTCAATACAAGGCTTATGAATGGCTGTTGGAGAACCAGCTGAGTATTCAAAACTATCCCAATTGGAGGCACACCCAAATTTTGCTTTGGCTACCTTCTTCTTCTCAACAGGGGAGAATTTTGGGTGAATCATCACGGCTGGCTAGACCGCGAAGTGCCCGAGTGCAACTGGGAACAGCAATCCTCTACTGCCGACTACATGCAATGTGATGATTCTGGGCATATAAAAGGTTTGTCCATTGTGGTAAACAACCTAGATGGAACCATTCCACCAGAGCTATCCCTTTTGAGTGCAGATTTGGAGTTTCTGGATTTGACAGGGAACATGGAATTGAAAGGGAAGCTCCCAACAGAAATTGGATTACTGACAAAGCTGACAGATTTGCGAACATTCCAGACAGAACTTTCGGGAACAATTCCCACCGAGCTGGGTCTCCTGTCAGATTTGAGTGTGCTTATGCTTGGGTGGGCTGGAATATGCGGAACCGTTCCCACGGAACTGGGCAACTTAAGTCATCTAACACGCCTTGATTTCGTTAGCATGACACAGCTGACAGGTATGCTTCTACTGATGTTGCAAGTTAGCATGCATGTGTTGTCACTAATATGTTGAACTCCGTATACAATTACCAGGCACAATCCCTGCAGAACTCTTCAAATTAACAAACTTGGCATCTGTTGGAATCTATGATTCCCCTCAACTCTCCTCAGAGAAACTTGTGCCCAAAATTGTGGAAAGCATGCCCCAAATTGAGTGGCTCATGCTAACCAACATGGCTGATGATGCCAATGCCCGAATACCCAGTAAGTCATCTTTTGTTGTACCAGAAAGGCATCTAGCTAGATTTCACTAATCTCTGTATACACCAAGCTGAAATTGCAAGGTTGTCAAATCTTTGGATGTTGTCCCTTGATGAGTGGAACCTTAGCGGGTTGATTCCAAGCCAACTTGGGGAAATGACACAGCTGGTAAGTAAAGCTGTCGGATATGTATTGGTGCTCTAGCCAGTGATATGCTTACAGTTCTTTGCTGCACTTGATCTTTTTCATAGAGTATTCTACGTCTAATGGAGATTTCTCTTTCAGGACGAATTCCACCAGAATTATCAAATCTAAGCAGTAAGTCATCAAGTCAGTGATGTTCCGACAAGAAATTGTTAGTATAGTTTACCATGTTCTTTTCATGCAGACTTGTTTACGCTAGACCTGAGTTCCAACCAGCTAGAGCACAAGCTCCCACCAGGCTTGTTTTCAAGCCTGACTGCATTGACACGGCTACACATGAATGGGAACAGATTCACTGGAACCATTCCAAGTGAGATTGGTCTCATGTCCAAACTTCTGCAGTTACAACTGCATGAAACAGGCTTGTCTGGAACTCTACCCACAGAACTCGTTGCATTGACCAAGTTGAAAACCTTGATGGTCACGGATACATCTTTCTCTGGGAGCATCCCTAATGAGCTGTGTGGTATTCTGCGTGGTTATGAAAGGGAATGCCATGAAGCTCATGGCTGTACTGGCAAAGAGACCACAACAAATGTGTGCAAAGGCACCTTACTTTGTGGATGCAGTTGTGATCCATGCTGATGATTGCAACGCCCCAGACAAGCTTAATTGTCAATTCCACGGGGAGTGCACGGGGGAAGAAGTTTGGGTCAAAATAAAAATTGGTCCCGCAAATGCCGGAATGAGAGCAATCTACAATGAGGAGAGAATTTTGCTAAAGTTGCATTCTCCTTATTAGGATAGTTTGGATACAGTACGTGTGGATGATGCCACCATAATGTGGATAAAATAAATTTTTTCCCCCAGCTAGGAACGATCCGACAGTGAGAATGAACCGTCAGGGAGAATCTGGTGAAGAACCCCTGGAACGCTCGGGAACGTTTTCCTTTTCCTTTTCCTTTTGAATGACGTTTCGGCACTACCTCCGGGAGGAGTGATTTCTGGCTCCTCGGGAGCTTTCATGGCTCCTTGTTCCTGCATGGCACATCCTCATTTTTAAACACATCAACTTGGCTGTCAAAGATACCCTACCAGAATAACAAATAGAGCCACCCTAGCAATACCCTGAGATAGGGAATACATAATTTGGACGTGCTTGTCGCAGTGGTAGTAGTGGCTTCTCCATTTGCCGGTCACTGAAGCAACGAACGGCTTTCTAAGTTAGGCAGCCAGTTCTTGGCCATTTTTGCTGCCCCCAACAGACCAGCCAGTCTCTGATCCCACTGCTGACCCCGTTTGGTCCAACCGATAGAGACATGCCATCAGGAAAGCATCCCAGCAAACCTGGAATGGCTCAACCTGTCACCCCTGTTAGAAAAACTACCAAAATTGATGCTGGTGTCTCTTCTTTTGGTCAGCTCACCGAAACAGGGAAAACGGTGGCTGAGGCAGAGAAGGTATTAGCCGACGTTCAGAATGTATTAACTACTCGCAATCCTTCTAGAGCACAAAAAGGAAAGCTAACGAAGAGCTTACTACAGTTCGTCAGTACTTAAAGCAGACTTCTTCCGACTTGAACCAAAATCTCAAGAAACTATCTCCCATTCGAGGTTTTGATGACCGAGCACTGAGTATTATTGCTAAAGCAAACCAGGAGAACTCTCCAGCAAATATACAACAGCTTCCATCTTCTCCATTTGAGAAAGTTTGTGCCATGGTCCGTGATACTTCGAATGCAATCACTCCCAACGAGCACAGGAGGAAAACATCGCCACCTAAGAACTCAGCCAGTAATACCGATTCAGCCTCTCCTTATATTGCTCCTCCACCAGCTAATGGTGTTGTGTATGATCGATGTGAATGCCTGCATGTCATTACTTCATATAAAAAAGGTAGCAGGGGTCGTGGTCAAATTATCAAGGAGATACTCAATAAGAGATTTGTGCCCATTAATCAACCAAGTCTCTACAAAGTAATCAAGAGTTTTGAAGACCACGTGGAGAGAGGTGGCTCTATTGATACATTTCCTAATGATCCATGGCATGTTAATAAGGGAAATCGACCGTACATCACACCTCAGTCAGTTCATGAAATATTGAATGACATTGCTGCTCAGCCAAGAAGAGCATTTGGCAGAAGTCAAATCAAGGAGAAAATGCTCGAGAAGAAGAGAGCTGAGCTTGCTAAGAATGGGCAGGTAGCTTTGCGGGAATCTATTATTTCGCCCTGTCGACTCACTGTCAAAAGGTACACAAATGCTATTGCAGGAATGAGTAGCTCAGTCAAAAAGGTTGTCCACAAAACAGAAACCCGATTGACTGCTGAGTTATCCTGGCGATCGACTGCTGCCTTTGCTACTGCGGTTTGTTTCTCCCAGTTCAGAGTTGTGGCATCGTTGTCTCCTTCAATTGCGACGTACCTGAAAAATGCTACTGAGTCTGAACTCTTTTGCTATAATGTGGTTCGTCAATGCCAAAAGGGAGCGCCTTTGCAACCGATTTTGGCGGCATTGCTAATATCTATGGATGATACCAGGGAATATGCTGTTGAAGGCTTGAATAGTGATATTTCCGATGATGCTTTTATCACGGCACTGTCAACCCATGATACTAATTCCGGAGTGAGAGCAGTTTACAGAACCGGACCAGCTCCAGCCATTGCTACTGGCCAGCGTGTTAAATCCACAAACTTGATGACTGCTGCAGGACAATGTGGTCCCATCTGGATCACTATCACCGGACTCAACGAGCGAGAACTCAGAAAAGACCAATGCCCAACCGGTGTCTTAGTTTTGGATATTGCTGGACTTTGCATCGGCGGTGGTGGAGTAACTGTTGGCCGAGAGAATTCTGGCTACGTGGTGTTCATACGAAACGACAACGACAAAGAAACCGACAAGGTTCGGTGCCGCCATTTCATAGACGATTGTCTTTTGCCCTGGGTGGATGATATCCGTGCCCAGTTTGGTTGGAAATGGGGCACCCCCATCCCAGATGATTTGACAGCAGTTGCATGGTGCGACGGTGATTTGGCGCAGCTAGCTACCATTGGCGAAATAGAAACGCTAAAGAAGTATCGAGATCGAAAAGTGCATGCCTGCAAACAGTTGGCTGCTCGAACTGCAACTGAGCAAGCTGCCGACCTTAGCCCCAAGTTCCGAAATGAAAAAGCATATGGGAAAACACTTACCAATAAACATATAGCTCCTGCTGCCTTTCCTTTCAAAAGGAGTATTTGCAATACTTTTGGGGAGGTGGAAAGTGAGCACGGGCTCAATCTTTCCTCTCGAAAAGTCAATGCCTTGGTTGACTATATATCCAAACAACCAGCTGTTCAGACAAAGGTATCAACATCACACAACATTGCTGCCGGCTTTTATGAGAACGGAATGATCTCTCGGGCAAATAGAACTGCTGAATATGCCTTTCCATGTATTGATGGTCTGATTGCCACTTGCAGCAAACAAATGCCTATCAAAGACGTGGACAACTTCAAAACTCTCTTCCCTAAGTTGATGACTGAGGTTGCCCAACACGGCCATATCAATGAGTCGGTATTTGATGATTTGTGTTTTCCTATGGATAAGGATTCCACAGGGCAAGACGTGCCAAAGCACCAGGGCATCAGTCAAGAATGGCGCCAACGGGCAAAAATTCTAGATCATGAATATCAGATAGGCCTTAGAGCTGCAAGGACTCTACAGGCTCAATCCAAACTTGATGACCAGTTCAAAAAGGAAACTACCAAATATGAAAACATTGTAGCCAATAATACGGCTTGTGAGCAAAAGTTACTTAAGATTCTACAACCAGATAATCTGTTGCCACATCAAGCACCAATGGCAGCATTTGATGCTCCAACTAGATCTGAACTACAGGCTTTTGTCCATGCTCGGAGTTTCCCTTCTGTTCAGAAAACTGCAGAATGGCCCAGAGATTTAGCTCAAAGTTGGCCTTCAAAGAAAGGCAACTTCAAAGATATTTCTAAGGGAGATACATCACATTGTCTTATACAAATGGCCGATAACTGTAAAGCCAAACCTATAGTTCTAAAGAAACCAAACCAAAACACTACCAGCAAGAACTCCCGGCAAGAGCTGGCTTCTGCGAGACATCTTGGAGCTACGGTTATTCGATCCACTCAATCCAGATTTGCTACAAGTAGATCTATTCTGGCTTCTACTTTGATGCAAATGGAATCTTTTAGAAGCTTAGCTCATAATATCTTTGGGTTGGATGCTACAACAAATCATGCAATGCAGGTTAAAGCTGATCATCTTCAAGGAATGCTAGCTGCAAGATTGGATTGGCTGGTCAATGAAAGCCAAAGAGTGAAAGATCATAATAAAGCAAACTGGTGCTGGAACTTCCCAGCCAAAAGGCTGGGTTATACATCTGCCCTTTTTACTATGGCCGGCATGGTAGTGGACGATTTACAGTGCTTTGGTGCGACTGAGTGTTTGCTAGCAGATCCTTCTCATTTTGAACTTGTTACTCTGGGAATTAGAAAAGATGGCGCATACTACTATTGGGACAGCAATCGCAGAGAATGGATTCGAGCTGGGATGGTGGCTTCCGTGAACGTCAGAGATATGTATGACAGAAATTTGGAACATGAAAAAGGCTCGAAGCTCCAGGCACCGGAGCACTGGAAATCAGAGTTCTATATGAGCTACCCTTTCAAAGGAGACAAGGATCCATCGTCTTTTAGTTGTGGAAGGCGGGGCTTCTTTGAAAGTCTGCAACAGTATGTTGGTTTGGGTGTAACTCTGCCGCCTCAAAGTGACAATTTCCATACAAATCTAGCAACCCAAACCCGACTACTGGCTCAAATGTTCAATATTACTTTCGCGGAAACTCAAAACATCAAGAAAATGAACAAGAAGCTCACCCCAGTAGAGAACCAGCGCAGGGCCATCCATTACATGCTCGAATGTGCGTGCGGCTTGTTGCTTGCTCCCAGTTCGAACATCTCGAGCAACCCAGGCTGGGAGCAAGCTCTGAAGCAGTACAATTAGGTGTTAGTATGACTAACTGTTAGTAGACAAATGCTGCTTGTAACTGTGTCGTTGATAGAGGTAGCTAGCTAGCTAGCTAGATAGATAGTTGAAAGCAGCTTTGTGCACGTCACGGAGATTCTTAATGGCAAGGTATTTCAAATTTTACTTTTGTTCGTTTTACATAAAAGGGCTTTTTTGCTTAATGTACAGGCTGGCTTTACTGTGTCTGCGCGCAAAGAACAGGGTGGAACATACAGCGAGAATCGGATCGTTCCTAGCCAGCATGCAGTCTTCCTCGCTACGGGCGTTTCGTTCGGCTTGATTTGCAAGAGTTCTGAACCCTAATGTACCAACCCGTCCAAAACAATGACGTGTCCTCTCCTCGAGCACATTATTTCGTGCGAAAGAGGACGTCAAACTTTCCATTGATCATGTTTTTCTTGTTGCATTAGCACTGTTATCTCAAAGCCCGCAGCACACAGAATGTATTCATGATGAGAGTTGGGCTGTGTCTCGCACTATCAGCAGGGATCCATGTATTCTCACTGCCGGCATCCGTTGGTGCCTTTGGAATAAGTTCTACCCTCAGAGGACGACCTTCCACCACCATACTAGCACAGGCCACCACCACCATTTCAGATCCACTTTCTCCCGAAGATGCCTTTGATTTGGAACGATTTCAACGTCGGCAACAAGCGTTGGAAGACGAGGCACGACGGCCACCGCATCCTTCCTTGGGCCCCCAACAAGTGGTACAGTCAGTTTTGACCCTGTTGCGGCAATCTCCTCATTTTTTCGACTATGATCCGCTCAAGCCACGTCCCCATCCCGGTGTAAGTGTTCTGTGGGATGCCTCTACGGACGAATGGAGACAGACTATGGCCGCCATGGTGGGAATGGGGAATAGTACTCAAGAGCCAATCATTGTAGTACCCGCATTGGGCCGATTCTTGGCCCGACCCCAACAACAATTTGCCATTTTGATGGGGATGGAAAACAGGGACTATTGGATTGATTTTCCCACCGATGTAATAGAATGGTCGGATGAAGAAGCCTGGTTGGAATGTCGTCTGAGGGACGGATCCAGTAATGATGAACTATTGGTGGTTTTGGGTTGGACACTGACACGAGAACATGCCAACGATGCCTGGTACATTCATTCGTTTGATTGGCAAGATTTTCGAAATGACTATCGTCCTGGAATTGGTCGAGAAGAATGGGAACGGATTTGTGGTTGAGCGACCAGCCCACCAGAAAGATAGATGTTTAGTTAGATACATGTGTGGAATTTGTTGGCATCTTTTGATGAAGACAGACGACCGGCTACGGTAGTAGGCCAGCATGAGGGAGAGCTGTGAGTACATGTAATCGTACGGTATGATAGCAGGTCCTCTTCGTCCGCAAAGAACCCTTAAATGGCCCTGCGTATATAGCATGCCTACAAGAAAAAGCTTTGGAACCTATAAGTTGGATATCTATAATCGTTTCTACCATTGTTATTTTTCTTTCATTTCTCCTTTCTCTTTCTTCTTCACTGTGGATATTTCATGGCTTGTGTGTTTACTTTCCAGTGTCGGGAATGGCCATTTTGGCGGAACGATCCAAAACAATGACATAGTCGGACGGGACCTGCTTGGATGCCTTGTTGAAGAATTTCTTTTGCAAGAGGTATCCGGTGGCTCCAGCCGTGGCCGCACCAGCAGCAGCAGCTCCTGCGTATCCGGCCCAATGACCACCATCGGGAGGAACTTCCTCCCATCGAGTGCCATCGGACCAAGCAATGGTGTGTTCGTCTTCGACCGTTCCATAAATGGGTTCGTTTTCTTCAGGTGCCGTGAATTGAATATTGTATCCACCTTCGTCATTTTCCGCATAATTACCCGTGGTGGATCCGCCTTCTTCTCCTTCTTCGACGGGGAATCCTTCAATGGCCAAATTGCCTTCTCCATCGTCCTTGACCGTCAATACCGCCACTTCTTCTCCTTCATACGTCGCTTTCCATTTTCCATTCCAGCCTTCGGTACGTTTGTTGGCATTCAACTTGTTGTAGAGATACATTCCACCGACACCCATGGCCGCTCCGGCAAATGCACCAAAGAGCGCTCCACCCTTTCCACCACTGAGGAATCCTTCTTCTTTGAATTCTCCCATGGCCTTTTTGATTTCTTCATCTTTAATGGTATCAACAATGTCAATGGTTTCTCCCGAAGAAGACGATGCCGACGTCAAGTTATCATCCAAATGTTTCAAATATTCTTCGGCTTGTTCGTCATCTCCCACTTGCACAAACGTAATGGTCAATGGCGATTCCTTCTTGTCTTCCATGGCCGCAATTTTGCCCGTCGCGTCTTGAATGGCCGCATCCAAAGCTGCGGAATCATCGGGACGTCCCGCCGTCAAGACGAGGATGGAACAAGGTCGTTCGTCAAAGCCACGCGCAAATGCTTCTTTCAAGACGATATCCATGGCGGCACCCATATGACAAGCGCCCGCCGGTTCTTTGGCCGTGACCATGGATTCCAAACCGCCAATATCCTTGACATTGCGGTACATGTCCGGTGCACCGTCACCACCAAAGCACACCACATCGACACCGTCGGGATCAATCTTGGAGACTTGAGCGACAATTCCATTTAGCCCCACGACGGCTTTTTCCCAACGAGTGGGAGGATTCTCGGGATCCATCGGAGGAGGAGTCGCCTTGCTTTCAATGCCCAGCATGGCTTCGCCTGATTTCTTGGCTTTCTTGAACATGGATTTGAAGAGACCCATCTTGATACTGTAGATCGACTGTTGTAGCTTTGACTTGAGTGTGAAAAAGTAGAGTTGTAATAGGTAGTGGTTTGCAAAAGATTTGTGTTTGGATTTGTGGTGTTTGTGATTTATGATGGCTTTACCAGCGAGGATCTTTGGATCTTTGTCGTGGCTTCCTTCCGTTTGATCCGACCGTTGCGCTTCCGAGTTCGATTCTTTCAATCTTGTGGGAGTCAAGACGGGAGTGATTTACTTAATGCCAATCATGGCTTCAAAACCGGATTGCGTGGGTGTCGAGTGAGTCGAGTCGTTGTCAGCCTCAGTCATGAAGGGAGTTACAGTACTTGGCTTGGAAACGATCGAGTGGTTTCACAGAAATGAGATCTTTCTGGAAAATTTACCTTTTACCGTTCGGTCATCCAAAGATCGGAAGATGGTTGCGCCCCTCTAGCTAGCTAGTAGTAGCTACTCGTAGCCCTATTCTCGATTATCATTCTCGCGAACTTTCACTGCATGCCGTAGGCGTACGGGACCGACTGTTGTGTTTTTAGCCATAAAGGACACTCCATTATATACAAAGCCATGATGAGCCCTGTGGACGATGGCTCGACAACGCCCTCAGTGAGAGCACCGAAAAAGTCAACGGGGGTATCTACATCGACGATTCTGTTGGTGATTGGAGCGAGTGCAATATCCTTTCTGGCAGGGACTTTGTTCGCTTTGGGATTCAATCAATGCCCAACACTCCCACCGCCCGCACAAGCGGCTGCCGAGCAAGCCAAGGGCACTCCCTTGGAATCTCCCAATACAGTCACAGCCGAAAAGCGCAGCCTTGTGAGAAAGGAAATAGCCGAACCATTGGAACGAAAAGGTCAGTAATTGTATTAGAGGGATTGTTTTGGTTGGGTATAGCACTGAACACCCCAGCAGTTTTCTTTTATCTTCGTAAATTGTCTCTCATCTGTGGTCTCCCTTTCTGATTTTAAAAAATAGCGCCTCCTGTGGAACCAGCCCATACTACTACCAGCCACAGAAAAGGCCAGTTGTTCCCAGAGACGGTTCAGAAATTTGTCACAGGAATGGCTCATGTGGACAAGACCGAGTTCACGGATAAGTTTGAATTGGGCGTCCCACTCGACTTGCCCTCAGAAGGCACTGAGGACATTCTTTTGCTCTACAGTGGAAAAAGGTCCATGCCCACCAAATACCAACAGTCCCTGGCCACCGACATTCAACAACTCACAACCGAAGAAGCAACCGAAAATTGCCTGTTTCTCAACATGATTTATACCCACCATGATGGCCAAAGGGAACAATGCACGGCCATTATTCCACAGTACGAATCCTTTCACATTCACAAATGGATGCGATTGCCAAAATCTGGCAAAGGTGGAGTCGACAAAACCAACCCCCTGAAACCAGTGGGAAGAGGATTGCAGGCCAATGGAATTGACCCGTTCAAAGTGCCTGTCTATGAAAGACATACGAAACGACACTGGGAAATCCTTCGCAAGTACTTGGATTCCGTTGATGATGTACTCAACGAGTTACGTCCAATTGTCAAGCGAATCAAAAGTAAGTCAGAGATGGTGTTGGAAGGATATGCATGAAAAAGGTCGATGATTCGTGTTTCTCATGCACTGCAACTCATCGTCTCTTCTTTGCACAGTCAAGAACACTGTCATTGTCATGGTTTGCAACCAGTAAGTGTCCTTGGATACTACAACTACGGTGGATATGAGCTACATGTAGAAAGCCATTTATGACATCAATCTCAACATTGTTTTTCCTTGTCCACAGTGGCCAATCGGAATTGCTCGTAAACTTTGCCTGTTCCACCCATGCACGAGGATTGGATATCTCCAATATTATCGTGTTTGCCACCGATGAAGAAACCAAAGAACTGGCAGAGAGCGTAGGACTGGCAGCCTACTATGATGAACACGTGAGTTTCTTACATTTTCTTCTGGGACGTCCTTTTGTGATGCGTTGTTGCTCACACCTGTCATTTTTTTGTAGAATTTTGGTGATATCACCAGTGAAGCAGCCAAGGAATATGGAGATAGGCACTTTACTGCCATGATGATGGCCAAGGTACGAAAGACAGATGCTTCAAGAAACAATGCAATTCCCCATTCCTGTTTACGTTGATGATCGCTCACTGTTCTTTGTTTCCTCAGGTCATCTGTGTCCAACTGATCAGTCTGTTGGGTGTGGACCTTTTGTTCCAAGATGTTGACATTGTCTGGTACAAGAATCCACTCAATTTCTTCCACAAGAATGAACATGACCCAATCCACACCTTTGACATGTACTATCAGGACGATGGTGCCCACTCAACACGCTATGCACCCTATGCTCCCAACTCTGGGTTCTATTACGTCAGGCACAATGCCAAGACACGACACTTTTTGACGTCCTTGCTAATGCAAGGAGATCTCGTGCTGAAAACCTTCTCCCACCAACAGGCCATGACGGCCGTAATGGCAGAACACGCCTCGCTGTTTGGACTTCGAGTCAAAGTCTTGAGCCGAGATGAAAATGACTTTCCGGGAGGGTATCATTACCACCGAAAGAATGGAGAGTTTCTACGTCAAATGTACCAAGGAGAAGTCAGTCCTACAATTTTCCACATGAGTTGGACCAAGAACAAAGACAACAAGCTGCTGTTCCTCAAGCAAATGGTATGCTGGACTGAGAATTAGTTCAATATCGTGTACTGGAGGTTGGTGGATTTCTCACCTGGTTCTGTTGTTTTGTTTTTGTTTGCTTAGGGAGAATGGTATCTGCAGGACAAGTGTGTTTCGAAGAAGCTTGCGGATATTGGTATTGAGAAGGACAATTTCGTATCTTCGTGTTGCTCCAAGGAAGCTCTGGTGACTTGTCATTACAAGGACAAGCCTAGCATCAAACCATGCAAAGATAGTCCCGCATTGGACAAGGGTCGACCGTCCTTCTGGTAGAGCGTGTAAGCGCTAGCAATAGGCTGACTGGAGCCAACTGCTATCAGATACAACACATGGTACACAAACGGGAAAAGTTGCCTGGGCTAGCCTGATCAGAGTGGAATAATCGTCGACGCAGCCTGGGGATTGGGGTCTTGCGCTGCCGCCTGTGTACCTGATCGGACCCTCGCAACTCCGTTTTCCCAAAACTGTACAAGTGAGAATGTTTGGCTCCTTGTTTGGCCCGTTCCTTTGGCTTTGCTTTCGGTAGTGGAGCGAGGATAACCCAATCGAGGGACTGGCGCAAGCAAATAATCGGATTGTGCCTTGCAAAGTAGAAAATGGAGTACACAACCTCCTTGTCTGCGACTACATTTAGCCAGCCTTCTGGCAAAGTAGAAAATGAAGTACACATCTTCCTTGTCGGCGACTACATTTAGCCAGTCTTTCGGGGTGGTAGAGTAGTTTTGATCTGCGACCAGCTTGTGCCTGCCCTGCCCGAAGGGTAGAAGGCCATGCAGGTAAAGTCGAACTTCTTGCCAGCCTCTTCACGGATGCCTGGCGATAGTCCATTCTCGCGCCTCCAGTCCGTTTCTTTGGAGGCTTTGAGCTTTTGTATGATGAAGTTGTGGTTTCTTAGCACATGATGGAAGTACTCCGGATGGATGGGCTGTGGCTCTGCCTTGAACTGGATGTCCAAATCAAGGAGCTTGGTCTTGCTCGTGAGACTTTGCGATAGTACCATGGAGCACCAGGACCCACGCTGAGCTTGAAGCTTTGCAACGAATCGTTTCCGTGCATTGTTTGACCCACAATTTTCAGATCAGCCTCTGTCAATTATGACAAACACCAGACTCACGTCTTCAACACAGGGGAACTCTTGACGGCCTCAAAGAAGTCAATCTAAATACTAAGAAGCTCTTAAAAGTAATTGCATCTTGTTCCGTGCAACTAGCTGGGTCATATCTGCTATTGGAACCCGTACGTCTCCAAAGTAGTGGCCTACGATCACGAGGCTCTCCAGAGAGCAATTCTGCCAAAGCTTCCGTCACTTGAATTTGATCGAAGCCGCAGCACTGGATATTATAACTTCAGCAACGAACAACGCCGCAACCATTCCGCAACGCCCCCCCCCCCATTATGGTACATACGAAAGGCATTGATATGTTGCGAACGGCGGAGAAGAGCCACCAAGGCGGGCGCTTGCAGCACCATGGCCAGCGGCGGAAGTGGATCTCCAGAGCCCCCTCAATTGAGGCAGGCTGCGTGAACGGAAAAGTTAGGCGCAAAGACAGGGTTCGGTTCTTCCACGATGATATCCACGTCTCGATATAGAACCACCAACCACAATGTGCACCCGCACCGGTACCTGGTCCAGCATGGGTAATAGTCCGACCACACTCCGAAACACCCCTCGCTGTATTGTAACGTTTCCACCTCCAAAAGAGCTTTGCATCATCTCTTCTATTCGGAGAACGGTGTCTGCTTTAAAAAAAGTGATAAGCGGGTGTACGCTGTCGAGGAAAACGTGGCCAAACACAGAGCCGGCTAGGGACATATACCTTGTTTCTCACACTTTCTCCTGTCATCTGCATTCACGAGAGTTGACGTTTCTTGTCTGTACGTATCCATTGGCTGATTCCCTTGGCAGTGTTGTCCATCAAGTCAGATATATATGCAGTGTTGCATCGTGGAGCCCAAAAAGTAAACTAGATGCGTACGCGATTTGCTCACTTTACCGTACTGCATTATTATTGTTGTACGATGTACTAGAGTGATCTGCCCATTAAGACCCGCAGGAGATTAAGACTATTGTAATATTCTAGGCTGATACCTTAAGACTATATTATTATTATGGCTATATAGCTTAAGACCTGGCTGAAACTAGGGCATTCCAGTAGCCAAAGCAGCTACTGGAGCTGCTTTAGGCTTCAACTGTACCTGTAGCACATCAGGCTTGGACTCAATCCTGTTCTCCAATTCAATTACCAGGCTTCCCTTGGCCAATTTGGTGTCCGCTTTGGACCCAAAGTAGACTGTCAACAGGGAACGATCTCGCTTAGTCAGGGAAGCAACAACCTGCTTTCGCCCGAGCTTCTCCTTTGCCTTTGGAGCCAAGCTGTTGAGCTTTCTGTGGCTTGGCGTTTTTTTCCACTGCTTGCTTCTGTGTAGCTCGTCGATCTGAGCCAAACTATCGGTGAGTATCTGCTTGTTTTTCAATGTCAGCAAGGCCTTTCATCATTGACCAAGCAGCGGATTCTTAACCTTGCCACTCCCATCCAGTCTCCTCCTGGCAGCTTTCATCTTGTTCGTTGCCACCACATTCTTATGAATAATCTTTCTCTTGGCCGCCACCGTCTCGACTGCCCCGGACAGCTTCTTTTGATTCTGCTCCGACATGGACACATCCAGATGCTTTGACGGTGACATCTTGGCATCAAACATTGTACGCTTCTCGCACATGTGCTCGAACAGCTCAAGACCCTTCTTTGCTTTCGGCTTGAGCAGGAACATGTCCAGCCCATCATTAGCCGTCTTCCGCTTGGCTTCAGCCGATGCAACTTCTGGATCAACAGCCGCTAAGGCTACTGCCTCTTTGGAGGGAAGCATCCTATCGAGCTGCGAAGGATCTTCCACTGCCATTTCAATACAGACCCGCAAATTCTGCAACTGACTGGCAGGGACGAATGTCTGCTCCATAATGGCAGTGATGCATTCGACTGACCAACAATCGTGCAACTTGTAGACGGCCAATGCCGACTTCTTTTCTTCTGGTGTCATTCCGTGCCAAAACGATGGCAAAAGCGAATACTTATCCAGTGCTTCCTCGGTTTTGAAGGAGTCACCGCCCATCATGAAGTCAGCGATCTTTTCACACCACTCTGAAAAGGGAACTCTCGAGAGTGGATCCAAATTGACCGCAGCAAAGGAACGATGCCAAGCCAAAGCACTTGTCTCGCGAATAGCATAAAGACCAACATGGACCATACTCCACTGATCCAACACTCCACGATTATCAAACACCGTTCTACGCAAATGAGACAGACACTCATTCTTTGCTGCCTTGTCTGCTTTGGCAACAAGTCGATCGTAGCTTGGTTGACATGAGAAGAATCACCCTCCTCCTTAAGCGACAATATTTGTATTCAAATCTGGTGCGCAAAGCAGGAAAAGAAGCCAGGTGAGCGCCAAAGCCATCAAAAATTTCCAGGATGTACCACTGTGGTTGCCTTCCACAATCGGATCGATTTGCCGTAGACCCTGGCAAACATGAATTGACATTTGTTCCCAAGCTTCCGTAGTATGAACGCATTTGGTGTCATGACCACGGTGGAACCAACCTTGGCTCCATGCTCTTGTAGAAACTTGTCGGTGTATCCGATTTGTCTTTTCTTCCCTTTGAGAAGGAATACTGTAGGTCCAGTTTCACCAGCAGCGCTTCCGGTACGGTACATTGTGATTGAGTCTCGACTATCACTGGTACGTTTCTCATGCTTGGTTCGGCCACTAGCACAACGACTTTGGTAGAGCCGTCAGGGCAAGCCATGAAGCATGTTTCGTCTCCTCCGGTGATGAAATGATCCATTACCTCACCAAAGGATTTCCCGGTCACATTACAGCGGCCTTGGTTCCTCTTACGAAGTTCTTCGAAAGCACCATCAACGGTCTTGTGCCAACGGAACTGTTGCTGCACATTAATATTGTTCTTTTTGTAGTCGAGGCTTGAGCTACAACCGTCTTTGGCTTGATGATGCTAGGATAAGACTTCAATAAAGTACGGTGGAAATGCTCCGAAGCCTGCTTGCGAGTGAGGTTGGGAGCAACGTCTTGGATCATGTCTAGCACTCTCTAGCGGAGGCTCCATCATTGCCTCTATCCATCCTGGCTGCAACTGTGGCAACAAACACTTGATCCTTTTTCGATATCACGGGGCGTGTTCCTTGGCCATTGATAATTGTTCTCTTTTGGATCGTCTTTACAGACATGAGCTTGAACGTATTGTAGGGAATACCAACTACTTGGCGAATTGAGCCATAGAGTTGGCTCTCTCATTGGAATCCAGAGCCCTTCCACTCCTGTTGAGCCACTCCTTCTTGGCAGTCAAACTGCGGCTTGTTCTTGGGTCCAGACCAATTCATGCCTTCCTCTTTGGCGCATCAACTTTGCGGCAGCAACAGGAGGAGCCTTCTTTACGATTGTTTCTTCTTCTTTGTTGCTTTTCCTCTCATGGTGGATTTGAATTTGGTTGATCCCTTGGGACGGCCAACACCTCTCTCTCACAGGAACGGTCTCCGCAAGAGTCGATCTCTTGGCCTGCCGCGTCTCCCTTCTGCTTGAAGAAGTCCGTAACTAGCCTGCTTGTAATGGTCAACGTACTTGATCTGAAGTCCCTATCATGATCGTAATCTCTTCGTAATCCTCTTCGTAATCCTCTTCTCAATGCCATCGTCTTCTTCGTCAATGCCTTCGTCAATGCCATCGTCAGTGCTGTCGGAAACGGCCATCTTGAGAGGAACGAGTGTCGGTAGACGAACGATAAAAGAAGGAGTGTCGATAGAGGTGCTTCGATAGAGGTGCTTTATGCATGTGCGAAGAGACGATAGAGGTGCGAAGCATACACCTCTACGGGAGCTTCGATAGAGGTGCGAAAGATACCGCGTACCGCGGAGTTTCACTCGATAGAGGTGCGTCGAGGCGTTTCACTCGATAGAGTCACTCGATAGAGGTGCGTACGTAGGATCCTACGTAGATTCAGTACTAGAGGCACGACTGACGTCATCGGTCTTAATCTGCAGAGAAAAAGAATTCGTGTCAGTTGGGTGGATATCTTCAACCGCCCGTAACTCCACCAATAAGTACACTATGAGGCTGCGAGATTTATGGCATACTCAACTACATGTGTTCTATCGATTCCCCTCTTTACATGTACTATATTCGATATACAGACCTGAAGAGAATATTCCGGGGAATGGTGGGTCTTAATACCCAGATCACTCTAGTTGGAATTCTTGAAGAAGGCCGAATGACTGAGCATGTGATGACTTCCAAGGGGTTTCAGGAATTAAATGCATGGGAATTGAAAGTTCCACACTGTAAACGACTGAATCGAAACTTCAATCAGAATCCAGGGGGATGGAGCAATCCAGTGCCATCCCATGGCTGTCACTCCATGAGAAGACAGTGGTAAAGAGTGGTAAACAGCGTTGGACAGCGGTTTACAGTGGTAAAGCCAGTGGTAAACAGCGGTATCGGTAATGATAGCGGTGGACAGCGGTAAGCAAGGATGCCTCGCCAAAAACCTTTGGTGGGCAATGATGGGCAATGGATTTCTCCATCCCCCAGCCTCAGTCATCCTAAACTTAATCGAGATTTCTGGAGAAAGCAACTGCGATGCATGATGGACTCTTGGGTCGAGTCAAGTGTGCCATCTTGCGATAAGAGCCGCTCAAATA